TTTATTTTTTTATAGCAAGCCATAGAAACAAGGGTAAAAGTCTGTGACATGATTGCCATTCACTATCTCCCCTTTGACCTTTCAATATATTCTCTACCTATTTACTTTATTTGTTTACCGATAATTTCTCGAATGTGCCAACGCAATTCTAGTCAGTCTTTTTTATTGTTCTTTTACTTCTTTTTCAGACGTGAATTTCGGCAAAATATTTGGCTGGATTATCATTAAACCATTCTGATTAATCAAAAGGGTTCTTCTCTGATAAAGTATGGTAAGAACTCATATAAATCTGGCCCTCATATAATCTGATAGTATAAAAAAGTGTCAAAATAAACAGATTTTGGTGAATGAGCACCAAATTTTGGTTAGAAAAATGCCTGACAAGTAACCATTCATCGTGCCGGAAAAAAGAAGTGACTAATTGGTAAGACACTGATCTTATGAAGCTCCTTGAGAGCTATCGATACCGGTAACGCTAAGGCTCACCAGAAATACTCGACGAAAAGCGCCGAAGTATTCTCCGTCCAGACATTGTGCGTGTAGTTACGTCGTTCAGACAGCTGCTATCATCTGAAACAACAAATTATCATTAAGTTTACTCCATCTAAGAACATGATTATGTACGATAGAACCCGTTCAACACAAACAGTCATCGATCAACATTTGCACAGGAATTGTGGATGTTTTGCCATTTCACTCTTGAATTACACAATGAGAACCGGTCAGAGGGATGTGAAGTGACCGGTCGCCTATTCGGCCTCTTCCCCATCTTGCTCCCCAACATTGAATGTGCTGCTGAGAACATTTCACGAAGAACGCAGATTTTGAAAAATGTAATGAATTCATCATAAAATGAAAGAAACTCGTCCAAAAAGAAACGATTCCATGGAGAGTTCATAACAGCACAAGCATTTCAAATCAATGCAAGTGGAAAGTGTTGCATGAAGTAAAGTGCCGGATGGAACCGATTCATTTTTACGTAAATCGCTCCTATATAGGCGGAAATGCTTAATCATAATTTCATTTGGTATATTTATATTTTAACCCCATTTTTTATTATTTGGTTTAAGCTTACTATTTTATTTACGACATAGCAAAAAATCTGATGCAAAGGATGCGCAACCTGACTGATATGCTTAGGAACTTCCTGTGGGATTCGGTTTATTCCGTTTCTAATGAAACGCTAATTGTTCAGGTAACAATACCAGCTTCAAAACTCACACAAGCATTTCCCAACCAAGCTGTCATTTTGAGCACTTCGTGAAAAGTGTCATGAACGTTGCTTCGTCTTAGGAAAACAACTTAGTGAAGAATTTTCTTTGCTCTGGAAAAATTGGCTCCAAATAGCTTGAAAAGTGCTGTGGAGTTCATCAAGTCAAAAAAAGTCCTGTTTACATAAAGTAACAGTTCGTGGTAATCCTGCGATATCTTTTCGAGTGGAAAAGCAGGAATATTGGTGAAGAATAGCGCATCGGTGAAGGCCAAAGAAATGGCAGATTTTGTGAAATACAAGACTACATAAAGGTAGTTATAGTAGGAAGTATGAGACTACCATGGCAAAAATCTAAGAAAGGGGTATTTGGAATAGTTTCCAGAAGATACCATGCCTTGAAAGAGTGGATTTTATAATCAAACGTATTGAAAACAGCAATCATTGTTATGCAGTCACACAGCTACATATTTCTAGATGAAAACTGCCCATAGCGCTCAGACTATGACACTGGTAATGAGTGTTCAAAATTTGTTGAATTCCTCGCAAGCCTTGATATTGCAGATCTCTCTCAATAACCAATTGTGACTACACTAGCCGATAATAAATGTGAAATACTTATAAGAACCTATGAAATTTACTGCTATGGTGAAATCTTCAGTCGGATGATGCCCGATTTCAATCCAATCATTCTCTAGTAGATCTTCAGGTAAGATGCTAGGAAATAAAATAAAATAAATAAAATAAAACATAAAATAAAATAAAAATAATAAATAAAAACTAAAATAAAGTCCAATAAAATAGAATGAAATATAGGTATGCAGGCATATATAAACATGCGCTTAATTACAAACATTTATTGAAGGAAAAAAGGTAACTATAGTGGTCGAAAAAAATATTCGAATCATCCACCGCTTGGTATTTATGTAAATAAAGAGGAAGAAAGTTT